ACTCGACAGCAAAATTTTTGGGGAAAAGTAGGGAAGTTTTCGAGAAATTAAGGCAAAAGTGGCAGGAATTCAGGGAAAATCTGAGTATTGGTAGGAGGGTGGTGGGGTCGTATTGTCTCGCGGCTTTCCTGTTTCACAGCTGGTGTTTGTTTGTTTTTGGCTAATCTTACACAATATCCCCATGACGACTTTGTCCGGAACTTCCGCGAGGTCCGAAGATTCCAGGGGTTCGGCTACGTTTAGACTTCACGATGATGACCACAGCCAGTTGCTCGAACAGACTGTACTCTTCGAAGTGGAGAAATCACACAAAATAAATTGCTTTCAGCAATATTCTGACATTGATCCGCATGTTTTCAGATCTGCTCAAAATAAGACCTTGCTTGGAGGAGCCGGGCAAAGCTTCGTGCTGACGTAAGCGCACGCAGCAGTCCCTACTGACTAGCATCCATAGCCGTTTCGAAAAGGATGTCTTCAGGATTGAAACACTTCGGCAATTTGCTTGAATTACTTGCTTGATGATTCCGCGCAGCCGGGGTGCAGCATCGTTGGCAGAATTCCATGGGGCGGGGTTATACTTGGGGAAGGTGGGAGAGAATTTTCCCCGGATCTTGAGAAAACTTCTTTTGGTTCTTGGCTTTCGGTTACTCCCGTTTCATTTCTGCTATATATTCCTCTAGCGGTTGATGCAGATGTATCACCATGCATCTACTACTTCTGATGGTTGAAAGTAGTAGGTGAGTGGTGATGACCTCCCCTCCCACTTCCCCTCTCCCCCGCCCTCTTTAAACGTCGCTCGAAGGCGGTTATTTAGCGAAAGGCCAGAAAAACTTTTGGAAACTGGGAAAAAGTTGTAGGTAGCTGGGAAAACTTAGATAGATGGTGAACAAGATCATATCAGATGAGGACATCTACGGCCAGGGTACAGCATCGTTGTGCGAAACACATGGGGGGGGGCGTACTTAGCCGCTGGGGAAGGGGGGGGGGTCGTATGTGCCTTTGAGCGAACTTTGCCACGTGGGAAAAAGTTTTCCGCGGTAGTTGGGTTTTCCCATTTCACATTTGCTATCCCCGTCCCAGTTGGGTGGGCTGCCAAAATTCTATACAACCACTACAATTACTTTTTCCGATAGCTGTAAATAGTAGTTGTGTTCTGACGACCTTCCCCCCCCCCCTTGGCTCGACGGAAAATTTTTAGGGAGAAAGTAGGACATTTTCGAGAAATTTCGGGAAAAAGCTGGTAGGAACTGTCGACATGTAGGGAAGCGGTAAGTAGGTGTTGAGGGAGGTCGTACCGAGAACCCCTTTCAGGGGGAGGGTCTTACTGACACGACCATTTCACACATCACGATGCTGTACCCTGTTCACGGCGGGGGCAGCTCTTTCTAACACCCCCATTTCACATACCACGACGCTGTTCACTTCACGAAACACTGTACACTCGAAATCCCTGAGATGTGGTAGGCGTGGCTGCGTACTTCAACTAAACGTGGCGGTGGCTGTGCTTTTGGTGAGATATTTTCATTTTGACACAATTGTGGTCGTGTCTCTGTCCAACACAGAACAAGATGACAGTTGTCCGAACTGAAATAGCCCTCGAATTATCTATTCGGTGCCATGTTCAAATGCCACGCCCACTTCGTTTCAGGGATAAGCAATGTACCCTTCGGCTTTGCAAATTCCTTCAGCAGCATTAGGATACGATAGACGTTTAGGGATGGATCACTAGGAGCTTCTAGCTGTACTTTCACCTGATACCGACAGAGTTCATCGGTCGAGAAAGGTTCTTTGGAGAGGACGTTATAATATAAAACAAGTAGGAAAAGCGACGCAGAGATAAACCAAAATATTTCCCGTACTGCCTTTCGGACCATTCAATCGCAGCGATCAATCAAAAAGTACTTTTTGATCACATGACCGCTTCTGGAGATCTCACAAGCAATTGGTCTGATAAAACACCCTCTACGACTTACCGGCCATGTTCTTATCAGCATGGTCGGCAACATAGGAACGCAGTTTGGCTGCTGCATATTATATTTGATTCACATAGTAAGTCTTCCTTTAAATAAATTTTTGAGCGCATTTCAATCGTTTTTTCATGTCGATCGTCGTTTTTTTTCGATTATTTTACGGTAACTACCTTGAGAGAAAGTGCAATAAATGGATTTGAGGTATTCCGTACTGATGCCACTGTTGTCACAAACCCTGGCTATCCTCAGCCATATAGGAATTCGCTCCTTCACAGTTAGGTTTGCATTACTAGGTTAGATTGGATTTCACTGAGAAAAGGTTTCATGTTGCTGCCCTGAACTCTGGATGAAGACATGCAAATGGCATTAGTCTGCATTCGAAATCACTGATGGCAGCAAGGTTTAACGCCGCATTTTTCACGCTGAGTGACAGGTTGGGTGCAAATGTCACATCTGAAAGGACGCTATTGTGCACCCAAAAAGAAGACCCTCACCCTCAATGGTGGGAGGGTTATCTTTGAGTCCCTTTTCGAAGCGCACTGCTGAGTGCGGCGCTCAATAAGCCGGTCGTGCGAAGGCCAATCATTTTTAGTCCATGGTTTCAATTTCATTCTAGAAATTCCTGTTAACAACTTGTTTGAATATACCATATTGGTTATGGGGGATCAAAGAGGTGGGCGGAGCTCGAATATTGTTGGAGATGTCTAGATTATTGACGAACGAATGTGGTAGATTTGAATACTTGTTGTTAGTTAATTCTAAGTTAGCTCCAGCATCAAATGACCACTTTTAAAGGCACATTCCGCGAAAAAATAAGGCTATGACCTCTCAAATGTGTCGGACGATCCGGAAGGCGATTTTTGAGGCTGCGCTACTTTCAAAATGTGAAAAACGGCAAGAACTCCGCTAGAAGCTGGCTAATTAGGCCCATGGACACCCCTTAGGCCCATGCCGACCCTCACCGGCTGCTAGCTACTAGCTAGCCACTATGTTATCTTTATCTATAACATTTCGGACTGCTTTTACTGCTGCTTTTCTCCGCTAATCAGATACTTAGCACTTTTTTGTGCCTATTTGAGTTCCGTTTCCCGCAATTTGCGGTCGCGAACTGTCTCTTTAAACCTGATCCATCCTTGTTCGGGGTACGCCACGCACTCCACTTTCTTTCATAATAATGATGCCTTCCGTATGCGGTCAATCTACATCATGGCTTGCACTGTCGGCCCGTGAATGCATTTTTGAAGTTGTTCTATTATTATGACTGCTGTTAATGCTGCAGTTTGCGCTCTTAAAGCTTTCATAAGAATACTGACTATGGCCAAAAGGCTTGACCCCAGGCGGGAATCGAACCCGCCCTCCACTTCCTCAGGGTGAGTATGCTATCCGTCCCACCAACGCGGCTTTTAACCCAACGCCCACCCCCCACCCCCTCACGTATGCGCTCCCACACAAATGTGGCACTAATTTCTCGCCTCCAGCGAGATGGAAAATTTGATTGGGTAGAGTAAAAGCCGATCTAAGATTTGAACCATGAAGCACTCGTGTAGCACATAAGTGGTGTCATTTGCCACGGCATTTCCAGTAGAAAATGGTGTTGTGATGAACACTGGCTGACTACCATCCAATTACTGATTACATTACTTTCCGGTATCGCTTTACTGAGGCGGCCGGCATCAACCAAGGAGTAGCAGTGTTTTTCTATCAATTCCTTGCCAATCAAGGTGATTGTGTAACCGTATGTGACGTGAACGCAACATGTCAAGGGTATGTCTTTAATAGGTAGAACTGTTTAAAAATTTGTCCCTAATTAGCCAGGTTTTTACAGTTTATGTGGGGACGCGATGGACCACGTGAAAATGAAGAAAGCCCTGGTCGTCAACTCGACAGCAACAATAACGATGCAGTCGATATCTAAACCCGATGGCTACTATCATTCTGGAATTTATTTCAAAACAGTTTTGTTTGGTAATTGGTTCTTTTTTTTACTCATGGATACTGGGCACAGGGTACAGGTACAGGTTACCATAAATAAGGAAAATGTATAAGAAAAAAGGCAAGAAAGACAAAATAGAAAAAGGAAAAAATAATGCCCGTACAACTTACAAATATTTGGACTAAGTCATCGTTCAGTGATGGAGCCTGACGAGTAGAAAAAAAAGTAGAATTTTGCAGCTGAATACCATCGAAATTGTCGACTGTTCAGGCAACGTGCACTAGAAGGCCCTGCACCATATGAAAACGTGCGTAAAGGATGCTTGGAACAGCAGGAGATTTGATAGTTGCCCCGTGGCGACATACAGCAGGAAATGCAGCCGCTGTTGCGCCAAAATTCACTGCCCCTCAGCGCCCCGACTGGTCGCTATGATAAGGACTGGACATCCTTGGAATGATGATGTCAGTACAAGCGACATAAAAAAGCGATCCAAAAACCCGTCCAGTAGATTTCAATTCCTGTACCCTGGATGTCGAGTTCGTTAACGTCCCACTGCGTAGTTAATGATGGGAGAGCAATTCTGAGTTTCTCTCAGATTCTCAAGAAATACTTGTTAGCCGAAAATATTTGATGTTGAATCAATTACTTGCAGATCTCAACAAGAGAGCTTACTTCCAATGTAATTCAACTGTTCAACTCGAAAACGATGTTCCATTCTTCCTGGTTTCCCAGAATTATCCCTATTCACCGTTCGATTACTCCTATTGTACCATAACATTCAACAGTGCAAATGCGATCCGGGCAGCCATTTACGACTTGGTCACTGTAGGCCCGGTAACCTTCGAAGGGCCGGACTTATTGGGAGGAACAGCAAAAATTTCGCTCAGGTTAGTCTTGTGAATGTTACTTCAGCGCTTACTATTCAATTATTCGAAATAGGAATGGAGTATGCTGGAGATGTCTTGAAATCTGATGCGGATCGCTACTGCTACACGCCTTTAGCTTCCGTTATACTATTAGGTTGTTCGAAAAGTCCTGCGACACTTTGACCAATTTTTCGGACTAAATTTTCAGTCACTAAAAGACATCTCCAATCTACAAGGTAATCACCACTAAGGACTAGGACTAGTGCCCTTCTTTTGCACAGCTTCTCATTTCCATTCTTATAGAACTACGGCAACTATGATAAGAAGAAGAGGTGGACCTCATTTTTGAGTAGACGTCGATTTTCGGAGTTTTTGCCTTCTTAAGGATACGGTAGGGATCAAAAAAGGTAGTAGTTAGAGACTGCTAACTTTGATGAATAAGCTGGGTATGGTCGCATTCTCAGATCAAGATCCACGATCTTTTGGTGTGGCCTGATCCTAACATGCGGTCTTCGCATTGCCGAGCGGTAGAGAAAAATTGAGTATTTTTGAAGAATTCAAGCGTGACGTCATCCATGTTGTGAGGTTGGTTAGAGTGGACTGTAGTCCTTACCGTTATGCTAGTATCCAGAGATATCGCTTTAAAGTCCCACCAATAACCTACTGAAATCTTTATCCCATGCACATCTGCTTTTGGCTGTGCAATCTACTTTTCTCTCTGAGAGATCCTGCGAGGAACATGTGCAAGATGTACGCAAGGACCCCACCACTCTCTACCAACCACAAGATCTCACAAATGTTCCTCCAGTGTGTACAAGGAAAAAAAACTCAGTCACGGTCATTCGGTATGACTTGTCAGAGGGGTCCAACTCATGAGGCATCCTTCATAAAAATTTTTCCGATAACCGAGATTGCGGAGAAGCATGGCGTGCGCCGTTAGGTGGAGGCCTAAAAGAGGTTGCCAACTTGCTGGTGGTCACGTCGCTGCGACCTCCGAAACCTTGAGTTAAAGGGCGCGTTCATTCTGTGCGATGGTGGCCGACCTATACATTGCCTACTTCCGAGTTGAATAAGTCCAGCCTGGAAGCGCTGATGCAAAAGGAACTCTCTGCCATGGCAAGCGATATCCTTCCTCAAGACAACGTAGGTGTCAGCTTCCTCGACTACGGCGAAGTGGCCCTACAGGAACTCATAATATGGGACAGGTCGAAAAGTACCTCGACCTCTCGAGTGACTTTTTTAAGCTTTGAAAACTTTCTCAAAGTCATGATATACCCATGTGCAGAAACCCCAGAGGACACTCTCCACTAATCAGGGATAAAAACATCCAAAATGATTTTTGGTCTTTTTCTAGAACAATTTAATCAAAGTGTCGCAGGACTTTTCGAACAACCTAATAGTAATGGGGCTACCGCTAGCGGAGGGTACGTGGCTGACTGTTGCCGGTGGTGTCACTGGTGTTATCGGTCAAATAAAAGCAGTGGATTGGGGTTTGAAAGGAGCAGGGGTTCTCTACAATTTAGTGCAACCACGGGAACAGCTACTTTCCCTGCAGAAGCTGGGTGGTGCGTATCAGGGGGAGCCGGGTTTGGTGCGGGCCAGCTTCATTCCAACCGTTTTCGCTTTTCGCTAGTTAGCTTCAATTATTTGTGGGAAACGGGCTGGCATCGCGCTGAGCCTCCCCCTGACATGCCCCACTCCCTGCTGTAAAAACGACAACATCAACTAATTCTTTAACGAGTTGCAATCGCTAGCTTCCGCACAAGTTCGTTCCCCTCCCAGCTTTTTTACGAGGTATTGCGTGCATATTTTTATGAAAGAAAGCGGATGATGAGAAATCTCAGTTGGATCCACTCCGCTAGGAATCAGACCAAATGACACGCGGTTCAATTGTTTTCTTACCCTTATAATTATATTCGGAAGAAACCTTTACGCATCCATTTCAGTGGGCGACATGTTACCGATGATGAGCCGGTGGCATTGTACTTTAAGAAATCGATGACGGTGTCATTTTCGTTTCGCAATGTGTCAGTGTTCTACACGAGAGGTTTCTATATCCTCGTGGATAGCTATACTCGTAAGTATGAGATAATTTTTGATTCCTAGAGGGACGTCATTGCCTTAAGGGTACAGTCCTCATCATTGCGGACCGGTGGGGCGTGGCAGTGCGGCTGCGTTTGGTGCGGTTTGGCAAAATCGTTCTGCACCAGTTTTTGAAGCGGGCAAGTGCATTACTGTATTATATCCTTCGTATTCACTCGTTTTCTACCACTTTTTGTCGCATACGCGTTGCAACAAAAAAGGCTGAGAACGGCTTCAACAGTGTGCGCACTCCTTCTGGCTGACACGCCCCACCGGTCCGCAATGATGAGGACTGTACACTCCGTGCTGTTCGTATGGGCGGGGAGCGCCTAATACTACTCTTCCTCGTTTTTGCACCTTGCTCCTTCTCTTTATATGCATAAGCCCCCTCTCGGCTGCAAAAGCGACAACATCAATAATTCGACGACGAGGTGCAACCGCTCGCTTCAGCACAAGTTCGGCTGCTTCCCTCCTAGCAGCCGAACTTCTTCTCTTTATAGCTACGGAAGCTCGCAGGGCACAATAGATAAATAGATAGGTTGCAATGGTAAGCCTGTCTCCGCCCATACGGCAGGTGTGAATTGTTCGTCGAGGCTTTCTTCACATCTTCTTCTTCTCCCTAGCGTTAGTCCCGCGCCTTCGCAGGGTCCGCTGTTCGTGTTAACGTCGCCACTTGTTCCTATCTACTGCATCTTCTGCCGTGGCTTTCACTTCACTAAGTCCTTCTTGATGACGTCCCTCCATCTTTTCTTTGGGGCTCCTCGTGGTCGCTTGCCCTCTGCTTCCGAATTCCAATGCCTTCCTTATTGGGTGATCCTCAGGCCTTACGTGCCCATACCATCGCAGTCGCTGCTCTCGTGCCTTCAGCTGGATCGGAGCCGTCTGTGTGACCGCCCTGACGTCCTCGTTTCTGACTCTGTCGAGTCGTGTCCAGCCGCAGGCCCATCTCAGCATCCTCATTTCAGCTGAGTGGAGCTGCCTTTCATGGTTCTTGCAGATGATTAGCATTCATAGATTATATCGGTAGCAAAGCAGAACAAACACAACATAGTTATTTGAAATTGGACCGATAGCGCGAGCATTATGAACAGATGGGCCAGCACTCACTGCCGTAGAGCATTGTAGGCCTTACCACCGCCCGGTACACCTTGCCCTTGAGCGTTCTCGAGCACCGCCGGTCGCACAGGATGCCAGTGGACTCCCTCCATTTCATCCAGGCTGCGTTGATTCGGGCCTTCACCGCCTGGTCCACGCTGCCATCAGCTGCTAGGTCGCTCCCCAGGTACTGGAAGTCCTCGACCCTTTCGATGCTCTCGCCGTGACGGTCTACGATGGGTTCGGTACACTCTTCAGAGCTCAGGAACTTGGTCTTCTTCACGTTCAACCGGAGTCCATTCTCAGCGAGCACATCCTGCCACCGCTGCACCTTGTCCTGGAGTTCTTCCCTGCTGTCCGCTATCAGGGCGATGTCGTCAGCGTAGAGGATGGTTTTCAGTGGTCCCTCCATGAGTTCTTTTGCCATGACATCTAGAGTCAGGAGGAAGAGGAACGGGCTGAGGGCTGATCCTTGGTGTACCCCAACCGTGATGTTTACCTCCTTCGTCAAGCCGTGCGGGGTGCGTACAGCTGCTTTAGCCCCATCATACATCCTTCACTATGGAGACCAGGTGCTCCGGAACGTTACGTTCTCTGAGCGCTCTCCAGTGTACAGGCCGAGGCAGGCGGTCGAATGAGTCTCTCTTTCACATGTTTCTCAAGAAGTTATAATAGTTGCAGATTGCATTACAGCTCCGGCACTTTGTGCTTGAAGAAATTCATTTTCGTACATGAAAAGATTCTTTCAGCAGGAGTTACTTCTTCGGAGTCATGCCTAAATAGCGGAGACTTTGTGGTCAGCACTAGTACTGTCATAAACATTGGAACAAAAAACTATGGAACTAACCCTTATTCATCGAATATTAATTGTTCGTACTCGTTTCGGAACACGTTGGAGGATCATCTGATTGCAATCAGTAGGGACATTTCAGTGCTTTAAATTGTCTTTGTTTTTCCTTCCTTCCCGTTTTTTCGGAGTTCAAGGGGGGGGGGGAGGGGATCATGGTTATTCACACCTGCAGTAATGACCTCTGCAAACGGTAAGGTGTGTGATAGGGCGTGGTTTCGAGTGCTGCCACGGCTAGCTTTTCCACCAATGGCATCATCTGAATCTGCAACACTTGACGGAAAGGCCTGTTCTAGCTGCGCTTCAGTCCACGCCCCTTCACACGCCCACTCATTTGCGGGATGATGACTAATCCATGTATTTTCTGACAGTTGTATAGTAATATTCGTTTCAAGACATGCAATATGAGACGGAGAAATGCTGCGATGTGATGCTCATTGATGGCATGGCCCCTCCTCCTTACAGTGTGAGTCATCACGAGGCTTACATCAAACTTATTTACAAAAATGTATGAATTTCAGTTATATAATTATCAAGGTTTTATGCAGCCGATGTTTCAATTTGCAAATAGCAGTATAGTCACTATGAGCTTCACCTCTGATGGGCTCGTAGGGGGTGCAGGTTTCAGCGGGACTGTTTATAATATTGGTGAGTTGCCCACATAACTCTTTGTTTGTTTTTCACTCGCTTGTTGATAAGATTTTAGCTATTCCTGGCCACCCTATCGCTGCCTTGCTAGGAAAGGGGTGTGAAAAGCTGGGCCCATTTCCGCGACGAGGGTAGATCTCACAGTGGAGACGTTGTAAGTTGAGAGACCGAACTGATTCCGCGTGCTGCTGTAAATCAAGTCAACTAGCTAGGAAATATTCTGTCTGTTCCGCAGCAATAGATGCTATGTCCCGCGTACCTTTGACACCTGTAGGCAGTGGCCAAGAAAAGTTCACATTCTGCGGCAGCGTTTACCAGCGTCTACCAGCGTCCATCAGCGACGGACGATTCCGCGTGGCTGCACTGGCGTTACGAGCGTCCAGCAGCGTCAGCGACTATTAAAGTTTAGACATAGTTCTAGCGTCTGTCAGCGTCGCGAGGGCTAGAGAAGCACACTTGATATCATCGCAATTGTCGGGTCGCAATCAACAGTTCTCATATGTGGCGTTTCCTTTACTGGTCGTTATTGGTAGAGCATTGGAGCCGAACGCAGACCCGAACCGCACTGCCCGAGCAGCCCCGACAGTCCCCAATGATGAGGAGTGTACAGGTATTGATGTAGCTTCTGCCAGCGTTTGCCAGCGTCCAGTAGCGTTCAGCAGCTACTAGGAGTGTAGAGTTTGAGGAAGTAGGAGGTTAGAAACAGCTGGAGGCTTCGTGAAATCGCGGCATGCACAACGGCACCGCACGTTTACACTTTGCACAATAAATTACATAATTCTGTTTTAGCAGTTGTGCTGTACGGTTACACACGCCGCAATTTCACGACGCCCAATTCAAATGTTTGCTACCCTCCTACTTCCCCATCCTCTACTCACGATCGCAGATGAACGCCTGAGGACGCCGGTAGACGCTGATGGACGCTGCCAGACGCTGGCAGACGCTAGATCGATATCTATGCTTTCCTAGTCGGCGACGCTGCCGGACACTCGTCACGCTGGTACGCTGTTGGTTGCTGGTGGACGCCGCCGCAAAGTATGAAAGCAACCTAACGACTAACGACCGTCTCCTCACCACGAGTAGTGCTTTATTCAATCTCACTGAGTCAGATTCTCAAGCGCAGTGACTTGCGCCTCTTTGGAGTGCTTAACCGAAATATTGCGAAGTACTTATCTCAGCTGAACGTGGTTTGTACAAGGTTATTTGAGATTGCTCGTGCGATTCCCGTGTCGTCAAACTAACGGAAGGAAATCCATATATGGAGCTTACTTCACCTGGATTTCACGATAAAGCTCCAACGTATTGTCCTAATCTCAACTGCACCTGGACTGTGGAATTTTCAACGGATTACGAGCTTGTTTCTAACATATCTGTCCTGAATCTTCGTTCTGTTGGTACACAACCTGATCTCCTGACAGTACTGGACAATTTTGGAAGGATTCTCAGACAGTACGTGAATTTCACTGTTCGCTTCTGAAATTCTGTCTATGACAAGGTATGATCATATCGTGTAATTAGTTTAGGGAGAACATGATTATGTATGGGGAAGTTACCGAGTCGATTACCACATCTGGACAACTTTCATTCAATTTGGTCACGTCTCCAGTAACTGCCTTTCCGCCCTCCTTCACGCTACCAGGATTTCTAGTACAATTGAATCTTGTTAAAAGTAAGTTGGGTCTTACTCTTGGAGGTCTATGTGTTGGATCAGGTGCAATGGGCGACCAGTAGCTCGAAACATTGTGATAGAAGGCACTTACGTGCTCTCCACTTTCCAAGGCACCAGCCACCCTGGTCCCATAGGCAGAGTCGAGCCACTGTTTCGCGTCCTTCGTTGACCACGCTTCCTCGTAGTGAAGGAAGAATGAAGGCAGCTTTACAAGAGACAAAGCTGGACCTGGACTCCGCCCAATTTCGTCAGCGTGTACGGCCTCATTGATAAACCGCGTTCGCCTGTTCTTTTTTTTCAACGGGTCAGGAGCCAGGTGCTGGTATCGTCCCCCTAGCAGAGACTAGGCAACGCAGCCTTAGAATGGCTATACTTTGTGGTGATTCCTGCACATAGCAATGTGTCATCGATTAATCCGATTTCTGTAAGCGCCCAATCAATCAAGGCGGCGCTGGTTTTTTTTCCTTATGGCAGGTAATTGAAGTGGTTTTCCTTATAGACAATAGACGTGCCAGGGGGACCGAGGGTTGGCGTGGGGCTAGCTCATTTCACGCCGCCAATCGTTGTCGCTTGATCGCTTCCACAATTGGTGGAGACAGTATGGCAACGGGCCAAACACCTGACGCGCTCCAGCATCGGCAGCGAAAATGGCTGCACCTCCACTTCAGCAGGAGAGCTTTTTTAATTTCTCTAACCACCCAATACATTGAAGGTATTTCAACCTTGAAACGTTACCAACAACAATTATATTTCCAGAGACCTTTCAAAGGAAAACCATTGTATTGACCGATGAGAACTTCATGGTGGATATTTCGGCGAAGTCATTTGCTGAAGGGCTCAACATGACATATGAGTACACCATTACGGCTCGCCCGAATCGAAAGGTAAGCATTCTCGCTTACTTGTCATTAAAGGCAGTTGGCACGATAAATCCCTAAAGACGAGTAGGATTGATACGCCTGGCAGGATAGAATTCCGCGACCCTGGGCAGGCGCTGCATAGCGGTTTCCCCGAGGAAGGCCCTTATAAGGGCCCTATCAAGCCACAACTTTACGTCCCAAACGCCCGCCACGCCCGCCCGCCCACAAATGGACGACCGTTCCTGACGCTCGTATTCATTCATTTGCTAAGCAAATTATGAAGCGAAGGGATTGGTATGAAGCGGCCGTGATGCATACATGGGTACACATATGCAGCCGTATCTTCGGTAGCGGTGATTGGTAAGATGCCTACGGGAAACTCGTCCGAAATCGATTTACAAGTCACTGAGAACGGAGGCTTTCTTCGCAGGATTTTGACCGTTTCACTCCGTTCTTTCGCCATTTCCCCACTATACAGCGCCCTACTAGCATTTTAGGCTAAGTAGGAAACCATCGTGCCAACTGCCTTTGTAGAGTTCATTATGCAAGAAATGTCGTCGCAATCAGTCGGGGCGGTGCCATGAGGCACGGAATGAGCCCACCTCGTGGCATTTTCCTATCATCAGCTACTATTTTCTTGAATAGGACTTTAAGCTATCACTACCGGTAGAAAGACAGCCGAGACAGGCCCATTCTGCCCCTCCTGACGCTGTCCTGAACTGCGACGATATCAACGATAAGCACATGCCACGTTGCTCATATGATGGCACTAGGCACCTTTTGCGTATCCTTCATCAGTTGTACATTTGGTTGGTTGAAGCTGAAGTTACACTTTTCATTTTAACCTCCAGGTCTCCATTTATTTCTTCACGGCTACATATGGAATAGTCAACTTGGACGTGTACGACGGGGTTGATGCTAACGCTGACGTCATCTACACAAGGTAACCCGTCCTTGTGGGGGTCTCTTAAAACAAACTCAGCACTTTAAACTCAAGTGACTATTTTTCAAGTACAGGTTCTGGTACTGAAATTCAACATTTTCTAGCTGGCTGTACGACAAATTAGACGGTATGGCTCCGAAAGTGGTCTCGACTGGCCAGCACATATTGATCAGAATAAGACCAAACATCTACAACGCCAAGTCGGGATTGGATTTCCAAGCAATGGCCACGGACTGGCAGCCAGGTAATAGATTTGTGTAGAGTCATGATCTTTGCAAAGGACGGGGCGTTTTAAGGGTGATATGATCGGAGCGCAGCCTCAACAGCATATCCCCCCAATTGTTACGCATTCAGCCGTATGACATCATTGGTGGGAAAGGCCGCCTTAACAGCGCTCCAGTCCTCGCCCTCTCATCCACAGGGATCATGACCGCAGAAAGTTATAAAAAAGGAACAACTAGTATCATTGGGAGCACTGGGGTTGAGCGCTTTCTGTCAAGGTCATTGGTGGAAGGGCTGTGAGAATGCTGTTGATCTCACCCCTCGCAGCTCTTTCACCAATGATGTTGGCAGTGACCGCCCCCCCCCCCCAGCCATCGTGACCACTGCCTTTGAAGAGTTGCTACTTTTCACTAGGCAAAAAAGGTTGCTCATGAAAGGCAAGCCCTGTCAAAGTTGGTCGTGTGCCTAACCGTGGAACTCGTTCCTTTGGTACCATTCAAAGGGTTAGGTGTCTTTCGCATGCCAATAATCTCGTTTGAAGTGCCGTAAGTGGGATCAGTGGGTAGAGGAAGAAATCTGTTCGGATCTTGCTTCCACACTTTCATCTTTATCTCACATGTGATCTCTTTCCAATGTTTCCTTTTTCAGATAATCAGTGCCCACCGCTGGTTTGGACAGCTGCGACTTCTGGACAGCAAGCATCTATTCCCCTTAAAGGAACAAACTGTCTCAATGTGAGAGCTGCTGTAAACAGTTGTGACAAAGTATCAGGCTGCGTTCATACTTTGCGGCAGCGTCCACCAACGACAGCCGCGTCGAAGTGGAGAGTATGGGGCGATAGGAGGGCGGCAGACAGCTGCAGATTATAGGACGCTAGGAGGGTTGTAGACAGAGGAGCAAACTGCTGATACTCTCCAGTCGCCCCATACTATACCAGCAGTCGCTGTTGGTCACTGGTAGACACTGGTAGACGCTTGCAGACGCCACATCGATATCTATAGTGGTGGACGCTATTGGTCGCTGCTGGACGCTGCCGTAAAGTGTGAACGCAGCTTCAGGAAAGTAGAATATGACGGTGAAGGTCATTCATCATGAATCACAGTGAGATAAGTTATGCACTTTAGCGTGGGACCGTTGAAGTTGGAGCCAAAAGTTTGATGGGCTTTTCAGCAATGGAACAGCAGAAAAAAATAAAGGGTGCTGCTTCATCTAAGGAGAATCCTAACTATGGAACTACTAGATAGAAGTTTCAGGGACCAGGGTACAGCATGGGCATGTGCGAACTAGCAGTGTGAGTATGACCATTATAGAAACAGCGACTAATGGTGATCTGATAAGCTAAATTGGTGAAAAAATAGCCCCAAGGTCAGTGTGTCAGGCCCCAGATGTGCATTCAATGAATGGTGACGGGGAAATCATGAAAACATGCACGACACAACAAAGCGAAACATGAAAAAATACAAAAAACTGTCGGAAAAAATACAAAAGACGTCAAAACTAAATGAAAAAGTGGATTACTAGGCGATCGGTCGTCACAAAATGAAAGCGGTCGCGACGTTGCGACCTTTTATTGGAAAAACGTCATTGGAGCGCACTCTCTCAGGGACTGCTCTGCTCAGACCCGTTGGAAGAAGGATGGCAAAGAAGATAGGAGAGAGAGAAGAGCGAGGAAATCCTAGAAAAAAATTTGGTTCTGTGTCCTCTACGCATGCTGGATTCGTTTAGATCAACAAAGATTTCCTTACACGAAAATGGGAACAATATAATAATTTGGCCTGTCTTTTGCTAAATGGGTTCCTGTCTGAACATGCTTCAGGTGTACCATTCGACAAACGACTACGATCCGTCAAATGGGATCATGGTCGAGTTGGAAAGCCCATCCCAAGCAGTGCTATACAAAGGTTTAACTACAAATGCCACTCACGTCGTTAAAAGGTACAACCACCAAGTAGTAAAGTTTTTTGATGAATTTCAAGGCTGTTCTTTGATACCCATGGTCGAAGCGAATGAACTAGCAAAATGGAAGTTGCTACATGCAAATACTACTCAAATGTTAAAGCTGTGAGAACCAAATTCCAGTAGAGACCTGAAAAGCTCTGTAATACTGATAAGGAGGGCTCATTCTGAAGAGAACATGAATTTTTCAAGATCTGAAGGCAATGCGTACGCAGAGTCATGGGTGGGTCTGCGGACGTCGATAGTAAAAAGGCGCTCCACCACCCAACGCACGGAAAGGAGGCCGTATTTGGCCTGGCAGGGGGGAGGGATTTTTGAATCGATTTTTCTTGATTTTTCCCATTTCAAATACACCATGTACCACCTTTTTATAATAGGCAGCGCAGGAAAGCTACTATTTCCAGTGGGTATTCTGAGATGAGTCATCCCTACCCGTCTGATTCGGACTTGGGCTGCAGGTCTCTCCGAGCAGGGCATATCATTAATTAGGGATTTTGGTCAGATACGTGCGATACCCCCTAGGAAGTGGCTTGATGCGACCCCCCCCCCTTTGTTCTCCTTCGAACAGAGAGATCGAACTGTCGAACGGGGGGGGGATATATAGCACATGTGACAGGAAAACCCGCGAAAAGTCAACAACCGGGAAAAATTTCCTCCAACGCCGCAAAGTTCTCTCAGAAGGCAAATGCGAACCCCTCTGCCTGTTGGTGAGCCTCTAACGATGGTGTGCCCCTGCTCCAAGGTTAAAATCAGGATTTTCTGGAACTACGCTAATATGAAATCAAAAAGAAGTAGAAGTAGACGAGCACATGTGAATTGAAATGGTGTAATCCTCTTCAATTTCATATTTTCAGCGCTACCAGCCAGGAGTACCCGAAGTTTATCTATGGAGCTTATGTTGTCATATTTTGCAACTCCTCTGATGGAAATGCTGTGAAATACTCGTGGAGTAAGGGAAGTAAGTACAGTATTCTGAAGCCAAAGTTCACATTCTTTGTACCACGCCATTTGGGTTGTCGTGGTAATTTATAGGTGTGGGATAGGATTTTCGTGAGCAGGTCATGTCCTTCCACGCCCTGCACCAGAATCATTTCTGAGCCTTCCCGAAACTGAGGCCTCGTGATTCGTCGTCTGGCCCATCCAATTTGTTTCACCGTCGTGGCGAGAAAAGGAGAGGTCTTGTCGTCAGTTGTCCACTTATGTATTACATAAACTCTAAACTGTACATAAACTCTGTACTAAACTGTACTGTGTATATGGCGGGGTATATTGGTAGCCTTCTCTCAGGATTGTAAAGCGTGTCCGTAAGATCCCTGTCCAACAAGCATCCCTCAACATTTTTAGTGACTACTTTTTTAGGGTTTACTACCACTCTCACCATGTCACCGGATGATTCTGGAGTTATTATGTCCCAAGACTATCTGCCAGAGTATCCAATAATTGCCTTCGAACAGCAGTTTTCAATCGAACTGGCAAGACGACATTCACTTGGAGTTTTTTTTATGGCTTGACTTCTAATTACAAAATTAACGTCAGTTCGGAGTTCAGATCGGAGACAGCAGTCACATGACGGGCATACGGATTGAATTTCTCAAGTCACTGGGACAGGGTCACGGAACCCTTCAAATGCAACAGTACAATAAGCTACTGGATGAAATCCCGTAAGTGGACCATCATAGTTGGTTGAGATATTTTCGAAAAAAAATTACAATTACTACTAAAGTGAAATGTTCAAGATATCCCACAACTAACGGGAAAACAGTTTTCGAGCAGTGTGGAACGAAAATGGTTATAAGTTATATATCTCCTGGAGGATCTTCCAACGGCCTTTATGCACGGTACAGCCGAGGTAAAGATTAGTTGTCCCGCAAGCCACGCCCCATCATAAGCAGCCAACAAGATTGTAGACGTGTTTGCAGGGGCGCAAGTGTGCAATCACGGACCTACTACTACAATCAAGATTTCATTTTTGTTTATAGTTGCTTTATTGACTGGTTTATCTTGTTAACCGCAAACTACTCGGGCGACAAGACGCTGTACTTCCACTTTCCCAACTATGATTATCCCCCTGGACTGGTTTTCTTTCCGTTAAGTACTGTTCGATAATGGTTCAAAATACTGGTATAAGTAACCAAAAAATCGTAGAGTGTCGGCCACTAGATCCGTGATTGTGATTAAATTTGTAAATATGGAATAAATTGTGTCTACTCGTAGTCTGCATGAGTCACAAACGGACATATTCCTTAGGATGTGTGACAAGACAATCGTAATCCGCCGCGCTGGTGGGAGCGTGGCTTGCGTTGTCGCCTGCCTCGTGCGGCAAATGGATAGTGCGCAGCCGCATGCATGAACGTTATTCCAATGTCAAGCTTCTATAAAAGTACCTGAACAGGAACAATCGTAAGTTAAGGGTGTTAGCTCCCATGTCGATGTGGAACATCTTACTCGAACTACCCCGCCCCTTGCCGCATGGTGCGCCGCGCACAACGGCGCGGCAGACCACAATAGCCCTGACCATGTTCCCATCATTCGCGTCGCTGAAGTGTCTCGGGGTTTTCCAGAAAAATCAGCTTATGGATGGTGGATGGCGTAAGGCCATGTTTCCAATCGATTGAAATTTTCTATGGAGGGAAAGGAGAAAAGGAGAGGGCAAAGGAAAAAAAAGATCTCTGATCATACTGACATATCCGCGCAAAACTGAGCATTTTTATCCTCAACAAGAACCAATATCGTCTACAAGCTCTGAACACCACTGAATACGTGAGGCTACATATTACTAGTTGCAGGAATGTATGCACCACGGGATGGCTAAATGTACGATTTGCTAATTAGCAACGATTAATATATATGTATCATATAAATTTGATCATGTTATCCTTTGCATTTGCTGAAACATCCAGTAGCTGGTTTAGCCCTTGGCGTAAGGATCACTCCAGCAGCTCGTACGTCCACATCTTCCACGGCCATCATTTCTCTGAAACGATTTCGCTTTAGGATTACTATTTAAGAAAGTCGGAGCATTAAAAGTGGCTCACCCCGCCCCGGTAGTCCCCTCCGTCATCTCCTTACTTTTCACGCTGCCTCCATACTTTGCGGCAGCGTCCACAAGCGTCCACCAGCGTCCACTAGCGACCACTAGCATTCCAAGCGTCAGGCGGCGTCAGCGACTAGCAAAGTAAACCAGCGTTTGCCGGCGTCTCAGGGCTAGAGAAGTGTAGGTGCCGATCTAGCGTCTACCAGCAACCAGCAGCATACACCAGCGACTGGGATTAGAGAGCATGGGAAGTAAGAGGACGGAACAGCTGGATTAGGCGTCGTGAAGTTGCGGCTGTGCAATCGCACCGTACAATTGCTGAAGCCCACAAGTATAAAATTTAATGTAGCTTTAGTGCAGTTGTACGGTGTGGTTGCACATTAGCAATTTCACGACGTCTAATCCAGCTGTTTGCCACCCTCCTATCCCCATACTCTTTACTCCCGATCGCTGGTGAGCGCTGGTGGACGCGCTTACAAGGAATCTGTCAACCGGATGCTCCCTTGCTGTGAAGGTCCAGAGATGTTTTCTCATACCTTCTTTCGCGCATTCGGGAAGGGAAATAAGGAAAACGATGTGAGTAGGAAGGAAGGAAAAAGGAAGTGGAAGGCTCCGCGGTTGACAGATATCCTGTGGTGGACGCTGGTAGATGACAGCCCTCAGGGCGCCGGCAGACGCTTTGGACGCCGGCAGACGCAGAAACGGATCATCTGTGCTGTGGAGTGTATGCATTTCCCCAATGTTTGTTTTTCTTTGTTTCTAATTGATATCTGTATTTCCTAGTCGCTGGCGCTGCCGGACGCTTGGAACGCTAGTGGTCGCTGGTGGAAGCTGCCGTAAAGTATGAAGGCAGCATCATGCTTTTACCTTTCTAGACCCTAGCAGCCACAGTATCCCTGTTTCGCTGCACTCTGGCCTTTCGCGTCGGGACCCCCATGAAAGTTCTAGTTGTCACGTAGCACAACGGCTCCGCATTATGTCATGCAAATATGAATAAAAAAATGAAGGAAGGGAATAAATGAAAGTAAAAAGTAAAAATAAAAATAAAACAATAAACAGTAAAAAAAGTAAATGAAGTAAAAATAAAGTTCTTACCTCGTCAACGCTAACATTGAGCTGTCTACATTGCTTCCATCCACAGCACTAGTCTCCATGAACAAAACACCCATTTTCTAAAACATCGAGTAAACTATGCTTGTTACAAAAGTAAGTACCTCCTAGGAGGCTGGAAATAGATTTCCGTGAAGCATTCAGCGCAATATTCAGAAGAAGTCAGTGCTGGAGTTTTCGATGATCTGGCTATAGAACTCACCGCTGCTAAAGCGGCTCCGTCATGGTTCGACACCACTTCACCCAATTCGGCTCTTAGATCGCATTTGTTACCAACAAGAATTACTGGGATTTGTCTTTCGACTGAATCCTGAAACAGCTAGTCTTTTGAAGTTGAAATGTATGATGTGAACCAAGTAAGAAGTAGAGATTTTATCTGGTCAAAGTTGTGGTGGGGGAGGAGGGTCTCTGTGTCTTCTCCAGTGATCAAGTTTTACACACGTTTACACAGTCTTACACAGTTTTACACTACCCTTTCTATGCGGGACTATTTCTTAGCAACACTGGTCGTCTGCGGTCTATACACTAGCCTTTCTAGGGCAGGGACACAGAGGTACGGCCAAGTAGTCATCCCCCCTAACCACGTCAGCGCCCGAAATTGCGGAAGTGAGATGAATGGGGAGAGAGAGCAAAAATAAGTTTTTTTTGTCAAAAATAAGAGCCCACAGTAGGCCAAGAATCTGTGTCGCAAAGGAATTAAGGGCACGCAATAGTTATAATAACTTGTCTGTCCGTCTGCCCCTCTCACTGAAACAGTGTACAAAAAAGTTCTGCAGTGATAAGGCCTGATTCCATGGGAGGTGGAGGGAACTTAACAGAATGGCGTCCAAACCCATTCCATGGTTTCGACAGAACCTGGCAAGGTAGTGACATTTCACAGCAGAGCGTGAAATGATGTGGACGCGCAGCAGGTCCCCCCCCCTCCTATGTTTGCTTCACAAACTTCAACTCGAGGAATTCTCTAAAAAAACAGTGACATGCTTTCCAACTTTGAAGGAATAGGAAGGACTCGAAAGGACTTTTGAAGGAGTACATCACGAGCGCTTCTATGCGAGCCCCTGTGTTTGGTGGGCTGCGTATCATCACCAATCACGGACAAATCTGGCATGTTTTTTTAAGGCAAGGCCCGCAATAATTCCCCGGATCGGACACAATTATACTTACAACTTGTCACAAATGTAAACCGAACTGGATATAACAAACAGATATTTGGTAAAAAAACAAAAAATCCTCGAAGGCAGAGGGCAAAAACTGCTTGCGTAGGTTGAAATGAAAAATTTGAGACCCAGGAGAAAGGAAAAGACGTTAAAGTACAGAACTCTCTTAGGAACCTTAACCTTAATAGTGTCGATCCAGTCTCGAACTTTGATGAAAGAATGCTCAGATGAGACGTCATACACCAAAATGGCGCCGTCAGCACGTCGGAAATATGACTTGCACAACGAACGGAACCTGATAAAAATGTACTGAGCGCTCGGGAACCATAATGGAGTCCTAGCACGAAAGGAAACTCACCTCTCCTGTCCCGCAGTATCCCACAGTTGAAGTGCAACGTTTCGTCCGTCGATATTTACCGTCTTCACATGGAAGTCCACGCCTGTGTGTGATTTTATCTGATCGATTTCTCAAATCCTACTGATTAATAGGATATTGTCTTACCAAGTGTGCTTGGGAGATTTGCGCAATGTTTACCACTAACAAGTCTCATTACTAAACTACTTTTACCGACGGCTGCTTCGCCACACATCACCACCCTGAAAGTGCGCTCTGCAGGTCCTGTAGCTGGGTGCAGGCCCTGAAAAACTGAGATGAATGGACGGTGAATAAATAATTTCTGAGAAGTTGTCCCTTTCAGGCATCTGTTTAGTTCTAAAGTAGAGAAGTAAGGTAATTACCACCATGGGTTCGATGTCGCCTTTTGGTCTGTCCGAATCGCTTGAGCAATTACCATCGTCGAATGAAATCACTAGACCAGAGTCTGGAACTGAATTCAACCAAGATTCAACTCGCACTACTCTCTGAAAATGTTCCCACCATCTTCTTCAGTCGGAACTTCGCTGAGTGTTGCTGGCGTTTGTATTCGCATTGTTTCGTGACTTTGATACATTGCCATTCCTTCGGAAGCTGTTCGTGCCAGATGCGGTGACGGTGTTCTCTGCGATATCAGTTAGATTGTATGTATGTAGTAAGAGGATAACTTGTTAATCAGTAGTTGTAACTGTAGCTATCCCTGAAACTGAGGAGGAGTAAGACATTGTTCACTGTTTGCGGGAGTAGTAAAGCATCTGCGAAAAGGTGTAGCGTAGCGATTTGGTAGGACGTTCTAGGAGATAGGCACTAATTTTTCGTGAATGTTTATAAGAGCGCTGAAGGAAATTAAAAGTTATCACAAGAAAGCTGAGTTGTGGTGGAAAAGTCAGACCACGCGCGGGATTCAAACCTGCATCTTGCTTTCCGTGCGGCTGCGCACACTACTACGCTACCGGAGAAACTCCTACCCTCTTAGCTTGATGGCTATTTGTGCCATTGCCTTCGAGCACTCCTACGTTCAACATGATGAAGTAAAAGTGGTAACAAATGGGTACGGTTTCTCGACGCATTTGAGTACACTCCATACCCCGAAGATGGAAGGGGTGTGGAGGGTTTGTGCATCGTTAACCATGGCGTAGAATACGTTTCTCGTGGGGTATGTCCGATGCACAACTGACATCTTCTCTTGGGGTAGACAAAGACATCATTAGTCGTCCTACAGCGGCGAATTCCCACCGAAAGTGCAAGCGCTGTCGCGGTACTGAAGCACTTAGCCTTACCCCACCCATGCGTAGGAATAGGTGTACGTACTCTCTTGAACTCGAAAACGCAGTTTCAGAATGGACATATGTACATGCAAGGGTATCAGTGTCGCAACTCCAAAGCTCTGCTCATTCTGTCATGACCGGACGACTTTATCAAAAGCGCTCCCTAAATCGTCCAATAACCGTAAAACTTCTGGCCTATAGCTTTTGAGTTCTCTGTTTCCTTTGTTGGACTTTAGTTGATGTCCTGTGCTTCTTCTTCTTCTTCTTCTTCTTCTCCCTAGCGTTAGTCCCGCGCCGTCGCAGGGTCCGCTGATCTTGTTAGACGTCGCCACTTGTTCCGATCCACTGCATCTTCTGCTGTGGCTTTCACTTCAGTGAGGTCCCTCTTGATGACGTCCCTCCATCTTTTCTTTGGGGCTCCTCGTGGTCGCTTGCCCTCTATTTCGAGTTCCAATGCCTTCCTTATTGGGTGGTCTTCGGGCCTCCTCAGTACATGACCGTACCATCGCAGTCGCTGCTCTCGTGCCTTCAGCTGGATAGGAGCCGTCTGTGTGACCGCTCTGACGTCCTCGTTTCTGACTCTGTCGAGTCGTGTCCAGCCGCAGGCCCATCTCAGCATCCTCAAATTTCAAGCTTGAGTTCGGGGAGGGGGGGGAGGGAGGGCAAGCTGCCTTTCATGGGTTCCTTTGTCAGATCAGGTCCAAGCACCTCGCTGCCGTAGAGCATCGTAAGGCCTTATCACAGCCCGGTACACCTTGCCCTTGAGCGTTCTCGAGCGCCGCCGGTCGCACAGGATGCCAGTGGACTCCCTCCATTTCATCCAGGCTGCGTTGATTCGGGCCATCACCGCCTGGTCCACGCTGCCATCAGCTGCTAGGTTGCTCCCCAGGTACTGGAAATCCTCGACCCTTTCGATGCTCTCGCCATGGCGATCTACGATGACTTCGGCGCACTCTTCGGAGCTTAGGAACTTGGTCTTCTTTACGTTCAGCCGGAGTCCATTCGCAGCGAGCACATCCTGCCACCGCTGCACCTTTGTCCTGAAGTTCCTCCCTGCTGTCCGCTATCAGGGCGATGTCGTCAGCATAGAGGATGGTTTTCAGTGGTCCCTCCATGAGTTCTTTTGCCATGACATCTAGAGTCAGGAGGAAGAGGAACGGGCTGAGGGCTGACCTTGGTGTACCCCAACCGTAATGTTTACCTCCTTTGTCAAGCCGTGAGGGGTGCGTACAGCTGCTTTAGCCCCATCGTACATGTCCTTCACTATGGAGATGAGGTGTTCCGGAACGTTACGTTCTCTGAGCGCTCTCCAGAGTACAGGCCTTGGCAGGCGGTCGAATGCCTTCTCAAGGTCCAGGAAGGCTAGGTAGCAGGGTCGCCGCTTCTCTCGGTACTTCTCCATCAGCTGTCTGGCGATGAAGATGGCATCGTGTGACCTTTCGGGCATGAAGCCGAACTGTTCTGCGAGATAAGGGACCAGAGTTCCCTCAGCCTAGTGTTGACCAGGCGCTCGTACAGCTTCATGGTATGGGGAGTCAACTTGATGCCGCGGTAGTTGGAGCACTCCGTCGCGTCCCCTTTCTGTTTGAAGATGGGAACGATTGTGCTGCTCCTCCACGCATTTGGCATCCTTCCTTCAGCTGTTACGTTGTTTAGGAAGTGCGTGAGCCAACTCACCCCATGCTCTTCCAAGGCCTTCGCCATGCTCTATCGTACCCCCGTCTGACCGCTGCTTTCCCAGCTTTCATTCTCCCTAGCTCCCGGCGAACTTCATCCTTCGTCCAGGGAGTGATGGGACCTGCCGTCGCCTCTATCTGTGGGCTATCCTTGCGAGGGAATTCTTCGTTCAGAAGTCCCTCGAAGTATTCTTCCCACCTCTTCCTGACTTCGGCTGGTTTCCTGAGAATGGCCCCGTTGCTGCTCTTCACTGTCTTTACGACCCTGATGTCCTGAGCTGCGCGATGCCGAGCTTTAGCCAGGCGGAAGACGAACTTGTCCCCTTCTCTGCCTTCCAGCTTGTCGTACAGGGCGTCCATTTCCGTATTCTTGGCCTTAGCACGCGGCCCCGCCTTAGCGAGTCGCTTGCAGCTCTTGTAGGCAGCGTAGTCTTCTGGGCTCCGTGTCTTTTGCCAGCGTTTGTATGCTTCCTTCTTCTGCTTGACGATCCTCTGGACTTCCTCGTTCCAGAACCAGGCTGCCTTGTCTCCTCTGATACCACCTCGCGTCTCTCCCAGGACCTCCCTTGCACACTGTAGGATGACCTCTGCTGCGTAGGTCCAGGTGTCCTGGACTGGCCCATGTGGGTCTGGGAGCCCAGCCTCCAGTATTCTTCGGCCGAGGCTATTCCTT